CCCCAAAACCCCAAAACCCCAAAACCCCGATTTGGGAGTTTGAGGTTGAAAAATTTATTTTAAATCTTTGGTGCGTGTTTTAGAGAAATCTAGAGATGTTACGTAATTCTTAAGGAGCGTTTATAATAGCGTCTGCTTCATCACGATCAATATTATTTTCTTCGTAATTTCCTGGATTTGAATTTTTGAATCAGAAAATGATTGCCCAGAAGAATCCCACCATATTTAGAAAGAAAACTCTGTATCTAACAGGCATGAAACAGTAATTGATAAAGCATGCTATTGGCCATACTTTCCAAGCCATTAGCTGTGTGTGCCAATAATTCTTCCTCATCTTTTTAGCTGCATCTTTATTGTTCATCCCATTCAATTTTGCAATTATGAATAACATATAGCTGTAAAGGTCATACTTTTGATTCCATAAGCACTTACTGACAGAATATTGGAGAGAAAATGAACTGATCTCAAGCTACTTTCATCCAAATCGACTTCATTGTTACCCCTAGTGTAGTTTATGAAAGGGAAATACCTGGAATAACTTTATCAATAAAATGTGTGTAGTAGAAATGCATGTAAGGAGCATTGATCGATCCTCAATATAGTCCATACCTATAAAGACATTAGTTCTGGGAAACAGGAGTCTTGTTACTTTAAAGAATATATTGGGTGCAACTCCCTTTCCTGGTCCTTTCTTAGTTTATTTAGCTATAAATTTTAAGTTAGAAATCAATTTTGAATGTTTTTGGTTGCAAAAAAAAACGAATTTTAAGGTTTAATTCATGAATCACCAGATTCTCCTTAATTTCAGAAAAAATTAGTATCAATTAACTCACCAAGAATCTGACTTGTGAGATCAGCTGCGCCAGTGATCACTCAAGTAGTGGCCATCTTAGTTATTATTGGTCGACTTTTGAGCTTTGAGTCATACCAATTTCCAAATTTGAGAGGGAGTCTGCCGATTTTTCTGAGAATCTCGGTCATAGTTACTCAAATATTCAATTTTATAATAAATATCTGGGGTTTTGGGGTTTTGGGGTTTTGGGGTTTTGGGG